ATTCCATTATAACATTACATTCTGTTCAGGTATGCATCCTCGGTCTTGTAATTTTGATGCACCTGTAGTGTGATTATCTGCTTACATCTTTAAAAATGTTAGCATGGGCTGTGTGTGGTGGCTCATGCCTAGCACTCTGGGAGGCCAGAGTGGGAGGATCTCTTGAGGACAGGAGTTTGAGACTTGCCTGAGCAAGAGCAGGTCCCGGTCTCTACAAAAAAATAGAAAAACTAGCCAAGTGTGGTGGCATGTGCATGGAGTCCCAGCTAGTAGGGGGGCTGAGGTAGGAGGTTTGCTTGAGTCTAAGAGTTTGAGGTTGCAGTGAGCTATGATTATGCCACTGCCCTCTACTCATGGCAATGGAATGAGACTCTGTCTCAAAACAAACAAAAAACTTAGCATGAACATTAATAGTTCAGACACCCCACAGCTATACATTATAGCTCACCTTTTTTGCCAGCCACTGTGGTGAGAACCAGGCCTGCCCAGGTATAATTTGACAGTGCCTCACCTCAGATGGTTACCTACTTCTTTTCTACCCAGGGCTGTTGGGAAAATTCTGTATATAACCTACACATGTACAGCCCAGAAGTATGGTTTGGCATGATGCCCAGTAGAGCAACGATGACCACTGAGGGCAAGGAGCTAGAGGAGAAATGGTCCTCCTTTGTATTCCTAAAGTGGATAATTCTGCCAAGGGTCCTCAAACTATGGCCCGTGGGCCACATGAGGCCTGAGGCCTATAGTCTGGCCCTCTAACAGTCTGAGGGACAGTGAACTGGCCCCCTTTTTAAAAAGTTTGAGGACCCCTGCAAGTTAAAGATCCAAGGTGGTCACTAATTTGATAATCCCCCAGTTTTACTAGTGTACTTTTCTTTCCTGTCTCTTTCTCCCCAGTCCCTCATGCCAACCCTGGCTAGAGAGATCCTAGATTAATCCTGTCCCCTGAGATAACTTCTTGTCTTAGTATGGATCTCCCTACAGGTAGAGTCTGAGGCAGGGATTTGAGTGCAGTTAGTTTATTTGGGGGATGATCCTGGGAAACACCACGGGGGAGTGTTTTACTAGGCTTCTGAAGGAAGGGAGCAAACAAGCATGTGGCTCTGAGGAAAAACTCGTTTCTGGCAGAGCAAATAGCCAGCACAAGGGCCCAGGGGACTGTACTTTGTAGGCTCGCTGTGCAAGGATAGGGGGGAGGGAAGTGAGGCTGGGGGGTGGACTGAGGCCTGAGGAAAAGGAGTGTGAGGTGCAGGCAGACCACATGGGCCGTGTGAGGCCACTGCAAAGACTTGGCCTTCACCCTGAGCAAGATGGGAAGCAGTGTGGATTCTGAGCAGGGGAGGGATCTGACTTACTCCATATCTGCTGTGTGGAAAATAGGCTGCAGAAGGGTGAGTGGACAGTGGGGAGTAGCTGGAAAGCCATTACAGCGTCCAGCAGCTGGGGGAATGGAGCAAGGGAGAAGTGGTTGTGTTTGGGTGTATTTAAAAGATTGACTGGTCAAGATTCAAAAGGAGCATGAGAAAAAGAGCTAAGTCAGGAATGACTTACTTCAAGGTTTTTTTTTTCCAGAGCAGGCAGGGGTGTGTGTGTGTATGTATGTGTGTATATACGTGTGCACACACACATACCTGTTGGTGGGAGGGGCAGTTGATTTTGGACATGTGTGTTTGTGATGCCTAATGACCATCCCAGTGGAGAGTGAGATGGGTAGCAATTTGGTTATGAGTCAAGTTCAGGTAAGAGGCCAGGGCTGGAGATACACATTTGGGAGGCCTCAGTATATGGAAGGTCTTGTTCATTATGGGAAGATTGATTTCATTCATTCATTTCATTCATTTCTTAAGATTTCAGACAGGATAACCAGAAAGCCCTATGATGTGTATTATAGTGTTTAGTCCTTTGAACAAATATATGGGACATGTCTGTCCATGAATGACCTTTCATAAGCTATTTGATTGTGAAATGTAGTTTGCCTCAGGTGGTGTTTAGCACGCTACTTAAAATGAGAATTTTCTGTTGCAAATGAGATGAGCTGTAATATCTTTCATGTAAGCAAAATAGGAACCTTTGGCCCACATACTTTACAACATGGTTTTTATCAGCAATGATCCTCTTCTCACTGTGGCCATGGCTAAGTTAACACACTTTATTTAGAAAATGGTCTTCTATAGGAAACCCCCATTACCCTCTACCTGTTGGGAGTTGCATTTGTCCCAAGACACAGCAGATCCCCACTGGGCAGCAATTGGGGTAACTACATTTCTAGGTTGTTGAGATTTTCCAGAGCTCCCATGTACCACTGTAGAGACTTAAGTGCTACACACGCTCCGTGTAGCTGTGCTTTGGTCCAGAGCTCCTGAACCAATAACCAGAGCTCCTTGAAAGCCAGCCAGCCTGGACTCCTGCACCCTATCACCATTTCACAACATGCCCCACTATTGCTGTCAGGCCAGGTTCTTTTGCCCACCCTCGGTCTTCCCCATGTCATGCCCATCCCTGTGCCTCGATCCTGCTGTCTCTTCTTCCTGTGGTAGCCACACCTTCCAGCCCTGTCTTCTCTTCAGTAACTCCCTCCCAGAGTCCACTGATACCTTGAGTCTCTAAATTCTCAGTTTAGTACTTCATATGGAATTATGGAATTTTATGGCTGAAACTGATTGTGGAAATAATCTGGTTCTGCAGTTTGGTTCTTATTTTGTATTTATTTTTTTAGCCACAAGGCACCAAGGCCCAGGAAAGTTTGATGACTTGCTACAAGGTATACATTAGGTTAGGGGCAGAGCTGAACCTAGAGCTGTGGTTTCTAGAATCCAAATCCAGAATGCTCCCTGTTTCACTGCTATGGAGAGAAATTCCTATTGGCAAAGGTTTACTCTTATTGTTAGTCTAGTTACTTAAATGTTGGGACTGTACTACACAGGGAAAAACTGGTGTAGGGAGATGGTTTCTGCCCTTGAAGTTCTTTCCATTTTCAAGGTAAGAAAATTTACCTGATACCTGGTTATTTGATTTGGATACAAATTCATGCTAAAGGGGACAAATACATGGTGATTCCTTATGTCCCAATAGAATATTTCCCTTGTGAAACAGTTTCCTTCCAGAGTTGTTTTTTTCCTGGTTGGAATATATAAACTTTTAGGGGAAGAGATAAAATAATCACATGGGTCAGCTTGCACTACTTAATATGTTAATTTAGTCACACATTTGAAATAACATTAAGAAAAATTGCTTTCCCCTCATTCTCACCTTTCACAGGCCATTTCTGTTTTTATTCTTGAGTGTCTTTGACACCAGTGCATTCCTTATATCTGGAGCCATTTTTGAGTCCTCGAGCAGGTTTCCAAGGTTCACTTTGCGTTTACCCTGGTCGTATGGTTCTGTCACCAGGATTTCATCCTGAGCCACAAGGATCCATTTACCAAACATTTGATTTTCATTTGTCCCCTAGTTGTATATTTATGATTCCACATAACTCCCTCACAGTCTTGCTTTTTAAAGTAATTTTCAGAGGCATGTTCATGGAGATAGCCAGTCCTCATGATTGTTAGGCCATATGACAGACATTGTCCTACATTTTTTTGCCTTTTTAAAAAAATAAAGCAGCTTTGTTGGGTTACTTTTTTAAACATTGAAAGCTGACATTGATTAATTTCTAGGCTTCTGTGCCATCCCTAAATTATACCTTACTATCCAAAGCAGTTATTGACAGAGCACCTGATCATATTAGTTTTTTTATTTTATTTTACTTTTTTAGAAACAAGATCTCATTCTATCACCCAGACTGGACTGCAGTGGCATCATCATAGTTCACTGCAGCCTTGGACTCTTGGGCTAAAGCAAACCTCATGCCTCAACCTCATGAGTAGCTGGGACCACGGGCCTGAGCCACTGCACCCAGCCTTAGGGTAGTAGCAAGAGCTCAAATATAAGACAAATCCTGCTTTTCTATGGTTCAATCTTGGGGGAGGGCGAATTTCTGGCCTCAAATTTAGATATCTATTCTAGCCCACATCCATGGACTTCCTCTTAAATGCTATCATCTGTGACATTTGCTCCAATGTGACACTAAGGAACTAAGTGGGTCATTATCGTTGCTCTCCCACCGTCTCTGAGGGGGACTCAGCTCCTGTTCTACTGAGAGGTACTGTCAGCCTTCACATATTCCCACATCAGAAATACCTTTATACTTTCGCACACAAATAACATTTTCAGTTTTGCCACAAAATTGGAGTGACACTGAATTGAATTGCGTTTGTTTAGACCGAGAAGCCTTGAGTGCCTGAACAGCTGGGCTCAATATGGCTGAGAGATGGGGGGACTTTGTTCTTACTCCCATGTACGCTGACTTCTGCCTTGGGATGTTTTCTGTATCTATTTTGGATTTTAAGAAATGTCAAAGTCAAACTTCGAGTCAAAGTGTCAAACTTTAAGAAAATGTACCTTTTTCTTGTAGCATAGCTAATACAATAGCTAACACATTTTCATTTTCAAAGTTCAGACATACCTAATTCGCACATTGTAGAGTCAGGATAATCAAGGGCAAAATGACACCCGTTAGAATCCAGTCTGTCAGGCACTGTCACGTGTGACTGATGAGAACAAAAGTCATATATGGTGACCTACTTCAAGAAGCCACTGTGTTTTCAATGTGATGCGTTTCCATAAAGTTAGGACTTCTTATGACCTGAAATTTGTCTTCCCTGGTATCTGCTGCTGTTTTTAAGAGTTGCCCAAAGACTCCCTTTCCTATGTTTGCATTTCTCCAGTGTCCTGTGGTTTTCGTAACAAAATGCAGTTTTTTTCTGGGCTCCTGAGAGTATAGAAGGCAGGTCTTTTGCTGGGTTAATTGCTCCTTTGGGGTCCTGGAGCCACCTCACACCCCTAGAGAGTAGAATTGGAACTAGATTTACAGTTTAAGTCACCTCAGGGGAATGTGTGATGACTGTAGAATTGTTTTCTTAGCTGGAAAGTCAACACAGTAGGATTTACCAGGAATTCCTTTTCCCACTTGGTTTAGAAAAGATAATGTGTGAAAGTCTCATCTTCATTACTAAAAGCCTCTTTTTCTCTGCAGGATCAAAGTGCTTAACTTTGTTAGTTGAAATCCACCCTGTTAACAATGTGAAGGTTCTAAAAGCGGTGGATAGCTACAACTGGGTACAGGTAAGGAAGCATGTCATCTGTCACTTATCTCACTAATGGTGTCTACAGAGTGTTTTCTTACATGCTATCACACTCAATACTCAAAGCAATCTCATAGATGGGTACCGGCTAGAAGTATCAGTTCTTCTTTCACAAACATGGAAATTATGAACTCAAACCTAGCTCCTCTGACTATTTATCATATCATCACTTGTCTGATAGTAATATAATATTTTTATGATAAAATATAGAATATTAAGTGCACATTTAAAGTAAGCTTTAAAATGATAGATTAAATATAATATTTTTATGATCAAATATAGAATATTAAATGCACATTTAAAGTAAGCGTTAAAATGGTTGATAGATGAAATGTCTATGATTAAATGACTTAATCCCTGAATTTATCAACTTCATGAGCTGATACAGAAACATGGCATGTATAATGCAGGTAAAATAGATCTAGTCTGTCCTCACTACTTGCAGACTCCATATTTGGAAATTCTACTCACTAGAATTTATTTGCAGTCCCCCAGATTAATCCTCCTGGTGCTTTCAGAGTCATTTGCAGACATATGATAAGTGGTGAAAAAATTTGAGTCCCCGACATACATGTACTCAGTTGAGGTTGAGCACGGAGACGCTCTGCCTTCTTGTTTCAGGGCTCATACTATAAACAAGTGTTTTTGTGGTGCCATGTGTCAAATTTTTGTGCTTTCTGTTTGTGATTTCACTGTTTAAAATTACCACTAAGTGTAGAGCTGACTAGTGTTCTTAAGTGCAGGAAAGCTGTGATGTGCCTTACAGAGAAAATACCTGTGTTAAATAAGCTTCCTTCAGGCCTGAGTTATAGTGCTTTTGGCCCCTAGGTCAATGTTAATGAATCGATGATATATGTTAAATAAAGATTAATACATAACCTTATTTTATGCATGTTAAGTAAAAAGTTAAGTAAAAACATGCATAAAATATGGTTATGTATTAATCTTTTAACAGGAATGTTGTGACCAGAGGCTGGCTGGAACCCATTCCTGTGTGGGTTTGGAACATAGACACAAGCCTGAGTGTTAGAATCTTAAATGTTGGCATTCCAAAAGATCAAAATCCCTAATCTAAACCCGTCATTTTTAAGTTGCAATCACAAGTACAGGATAGTTAGTAAACCTGAGTGTTTATGCTGGCAAAAGATATGTATGTTGCTACTGCCTGTTTTGTTGTGTACGTTGGTCTCTGAAGTATTCTGTTGTATTTTTATGTTTCTCAGATAAATCTTATTTTTAAAATGTCATATATATATATATATATATTTGCAATGGGGTCTTGTTATGTTGCCAAGCTGGTCGTGAACTCCTGTCCTCAGCAATCCCTCTGCCTCACCCTCCCATGTAGCTGGAACTACAGTGTACACCACTGCTCCTGGCTAATAAATACCTTTTCATAAATTTTCAAGTATTTGTTTCCGGAATCTAATTATATTAATTAGATTTTGATTTTGTTGAGCTTGTGATTTTGGGGATTTTAGACGTTAGGAATTGTCATCTTTTGGGATTGCAGTATTTGGGATTATGACATTCCAGACTGTGTCTTTTGGGATCCTGATTGGCCTCCGTGCGTCTCCCCGGCAGCAGTGGTTCAGTGTAGTGTTGGTGGTTGCTTTACAGAACACAGCCACTGGAGATATCAGCAGGGTCACAGCTTCATTTCCCTTCGCCTAATTTTACATTACATCAGAACATCATTTCTTTTGATCTACCTGGAGTCAAATTGTGAGATACACCACATCTGCCTCTTCTCCCTCAATTCACTTCTAGCCTCCAGCCATCAGGTCTCCCTCTTCCAGTGTGTGAGGACAAGGGGCTGTCTCACCTCTGCTCTGGATCCTCCCGGCTCCTGGCTCCACTCCTCCCTTCCAGGCAGGGCTGGGCCTGGAGCCCAGCGGCATTCTTTCACCTCAGGAAGCTACTCCATCTGGGTTGTCATCAGTGCCAGGGTGACAGGGACAGAGCATGTGTCCATTTTCTGGCCTGTTCCTTTGGCTTCCTTACTATCTTTACCTAGGGCTGTATAGAGGTGGAGATGGGGACAACTAAAGGCACTTAGAACATAGCAAGGGAAAGGTTTTAAAAGTGCATGGTTGTACATGTGAATACATGAAAAACTACCGAAAATCGCACAGGTTAATGCAGTTAAAATGGTGACCTTTATGTTATGTGAACTTTATCTCAATTAAAAAATATTAAAAGTACACAACACATGAGACCATCTGTAGACCAAAGAAAAAGTCCCTGTCTAAATAAAGTAAAACCGGTCCTTCTATAGTGGACCCATCTCAGTTCCGAGTCCTGTCCCCTGATCCTCATATCTCTGCCTTTGGAGAGAAAAACTCTTCCAAACCTCCATCTATGGCAAATCCCACCTTCTCCCTCTCTTTATTCCTCCCTCCCTCTCTCTTTCCTCCAGACAAATGCCACCTACTGTCCCTCAGGTTAGTCTTCCTTGGAATCTATCTCCTTTCTCCTGGTGCCCTCTAGTCCATTCCTAAGTCTCATGGGCAGTGTCGACTTCCTTCACAGAGGACCCCCAGCAGGATAGTGGCAGGGGTTCCAGTATGAGGTGTGCCTCCCTGGTAGGTCCAGTGGGAAATTATATACCCCCCAGACACCAGTATTCTCAGGATAGCTCCATATTTGTGAAGATAACTATTTTGCTAAATAAACATAATCCGGGTAGATTCCTATTTACAATGTAAAAACCCACCTTGAGTGCTTTTGTAGAGCTGTGTCTGAAGCCTATGTGTTTTTGGGCTTCTAGGCCTTGCTCTAGGGCTGCCTCATAATAGAAAAACAACAGCCACGTGAATGGGACTTTCAAAACTGTTCCCCCTCATTGCCACCCAAAGACTGAGGAGAGGCCTAGAGGCTGGCAGCTGCTGCTTATCAGCACCTCAGTCCACCCCTCCTTTCTCAGCAGGCGTGTCCTGGCCACCTCTACAAACCCGGCAGCCCTTACTGTCTCCTGGAGGAGCGCCTCCTTATTTTGAGGCCCTGAGCGATTGTGCTCCCATCATATATGCAGTGTCACTCATCTTTGTTTTTCCCCAACCCAATACACGAAGTATCTTAATGTGTACAATTTCACAAAGCTTGAAATAATTAGTTCCATACTATTTTTGTAGCTGAACATTGCTGTCTTTTTATAATTTTAATGTTATTGCCATGCAGAATGCCATATAGTTAATGTTTTGTTTTCAATCCTGAAAGAGAAACTCAACTGTAAATCCTAAAAAGCAAGTTGACCAGTTCTATTTCCAATTTCCTATGATGAAAATCTAGGATATTGGGTAATATATTTTATCATAAATTTTTCCTGGTTTTAGTGAAGGTGATGACTGTCAAATTGGGACATAAAAAGTTATGTCCTTTCATAATGATTTCAAGTTTTAGGAGAAAAAGGACCAAATTCACGGGTCTTTCATGCCACAAAATGAAACGACTGATTTATAGATACCCTTTCACTGATGACAGAACTAAGTTGCTGGAGTCATGCTATAACCAGTTTTCCGCCATCATCACAGCTGACAAGGTCAGGCCCTGTGTTGCTGGGAGCCCCTTGGGAGCCCCAGAAGGAGGCATGTGATGGATTAAGCTTTTTGTTCCCAGTGGCAGTCATTCCGTGCTTTGCGGCTTGTAAATCCTTGACCCCACGCCACACTGTGACTCACTGTCCTTTCTTGGAAAGTCCCTGGTTATCTTCTGCTTTGTCTCTTGGATATGAGAATGTGTTTAGTTGGCTCTCAAATTACATACTGGGGTTAGCTGCACACAAATATACGTGTATTGATCACTCTTTCTGCATCTACTCATAGGAAAGCAAGTGTCAATGAAATCCAAGTCAGGGGGAGGGGAGAAGGGATGGGTAAATACTCAATGGATACATTACATGGGTACATCCCACACCTATAACTCTGACTCAAAATATAAAAAGTGAGTTATGTAATCAAAATGTACGTACCCTCACAATATTCTGAAATTTAAAAAAGAAAAAAAAGAACATTCTGCATAAATATTGTTTGCCTTGTTTCTGATATGCTACAGAATCAGATGTCTCAAACAGGAAATACCATCCCTAGAAATAACTTCAACTTTAGCATTACAGTTTATTTTATTTATTTTTTAAAATTTCAGATTAATATGAGGGTACAAATGTTTAGCTTACATTGTTTTCATTTCTAAAGTAAAGTTGAAGTTGTGTTTGAGCCCTTCACCCAGGGGGAGTGCTGAACACCCTCACACTGTGCCCATTAGGTGAGATCCCACTACTCACCCTCCCGCTACCCGTCTCTCCTGGCCCCTTCCCTAGACTATACTTGTGTTTTTCTTTGATGTGGGCTCGCAGCTGTTTATATATTGGTTTCATATTAATATTGAATACATTGGATACTTGTTTTTTCATTCTTGTGATACTTTACTAAGAAGAATGTGTTTCAACTCCATCCAGGTAAAGACAAAAGATGTAAACTCTCCATCTTTTCTTTTTTTTAAATTGTTTCTGCAATTATTTTTTTTATTTCAGATTGGTATGAGAGTACAGATGATTAGGTTACATTGTTTGCATTTTTGGTTTACCTTTTTTATTTTTCGGTTTTTGGCGGGGCTGACCTTAAACCCGCCATCATTGGTATATGGGGCTGGCACCCTACTCCCTGAGCCACAGGCGCTGCCCACATTGTTTGCGTTTTTAAGGTAAAATTCAAGTTGTAGTTGAGCTTGTCATCCAGGGAGTGTGCTGCGTTGTTTCCCCGTTTAAAACACCCTGCTCTCCTAAGCCTCTTCACTTCAGATGGAATGACTTGATGTTCAGGAAATACAACCCTTTTGTCCAATTCTTTACCCCTTGCTCCCAAGATGGTCTATTGCTCAGCCTTCCTTTCACTCTTAAGCCTTTGTGGAGTGGACGCTGCTGCCTCCTCCCCGTTTTGGTGCCTGTTTGAGCTGCTGCTGCTTGGGAAAGATCTTTCAGAGTCTGGCTCAGGCCTCTCTTTATGTGCTGTGTTTGGTACCAGTGTTTTGTCTTTAGCTTTTGTATGCAATTATGCTGTCAATCTGTTTTAAGCTAATGGATTGATGGACTTGTTTATGATTGTGATATTTTCTATTAAACCCAATATTTATTTATTTTTTAATAAATCATAACTGAGTACATTAATGCCTTTACGGGGTACAATGTGCTGATTTTACATATAATTTGGAATGCTTAAATCAAACTGGTTAACATAGCTTTCACCTCACTTATTTGTTGTGTTGAGATATTTATACTCTTAATAGTTTTGACATGTACCCTTGCATGGTGCACAATAGGTGAGGTCCCACCAATTACCTTCCCTCCTATCCATCTTTTCTTATGGCCAAATAGTACTCCATGGTATACATATACTAAAGTTTGTTAATCCATTCATGGGTTGATGGGAACTTGGGTTGCTTCCACCCAAATGTGGAAGGTGTGAATTGTGAATTGAGCTGCAATAAACATTCTAGTGCAAATATCCTTATGTTAAAATGATTTTTTTTCTTTTGGTTAGATATCTAATGATGGGTCATGGGATCAAATGGAGGGCCAACTTTTGGCTCTTTAAGAATTCTCCATACTTCTTTCCATAGAGGTTGTTAGTTTGCAATTCCACCAGTGGTGCAAAAGTGTTCCTTCTCTCCACTTCCATGCCAACATCTGCACATTTGAGATTTTGTGATGTGGGCTAATCTCACTGGAGTTAGGTGACATCTCAAGGTGGTTTTGATTTGCATTTCTCTGATGATTAGGGACAATGAGCATTTTTCATGTGTTTGTTGTCCATTCATCTGTCATCTTCAGAAAAGTTTCTGTTCAAGTCTCTTGCCCACCTATAAATAGATTGTTTGCTCTTTTCTTGTTAATTGAGTTCTCTATAGATTCTAGTTATCAGGTCTTTGGTAGACTTATAGCATGAAATATCTTCTCCATTCTGAAGACTTACTGTGCAGAAGCTTTTTAGCTTGATCATATCCCATTTATTTATTTTTGGTGTTGCTGCAACTGGCAATGGGATCTTCTTCATAAAATCTTTTACCAGGCTAATTTTGTCAGGAGTTTTCCCACACTTTCTTCTAGGATTTTTATTGTTTTGGTTTTTGTCAGTGGTGAGAAATGCAGGTCCAATTTTGGCCTTCTGCATGTAGCTAATTGGTTCTCTTAGCACTATTTATTAAATGAGATTATTTCCCCCAAAGCATACATCAAAGATCAGATGGTGAAATGTGACTGGGTTCATCTCTAGGTTCTCTATTCCTTTCTATAGATCCTATGTCTCTGCTTTGTTCCAGTACCATGCTCTTTTGATCCCAATAAAGTTGTAGTAACCTGAAGTCTGATAACATGATGCTTCCAGATTTGTTTTTATTTCTTAGAATTGTATAGCCTTATAGTTTAAATGAATGGTAACAGTGTTGTACCTGAGATCAGTTTTCCCTGGAAAACTAAGGCCCTGAGAGTTCCTTTTCCTGTTTGCTTTGAGCTGTCATGTGTGAGTGCATGCTTGTGGTTTCCCTAAGCTATTCTGTGGTTCCTGGTTCCTTCCATGGTCATATACTACAGTGATCATGTCAACTTTTGGAATACAGTAGAACCTCTATAAGTTGACCACTTAAGGGACTGTAATAAACTGATCAATACACAAGGAACAAGCCTACTGTACCAATATGTACATGTGATGCATGTCCAGGCTATGAGAATTAGGTCAACTTAAGGAGGTGGTCAATGTAGGTAGCTGGTCAGAGATGAATGTTCTATTTTATTTGTGCAAGCAAGATAGTTGCTTATAATTTTGATCAATTTCCTTTTTACAGTTCCTCTACCCATATGTTGAAAGCCATCCTCTTCCAGAGAACCATCTGTTACTGATTTCAGAAGAGAAATGTAAGTTATCTTTAGGTGATGTATGGGAATTTCTGAATGCCACAGTCTCCTAGTGAAGTGTACAATGTCATTGAATCTTCTTTTTTTTGAGACAGAGCCTCAAGCTGTCACCTTGCATAAAGTGCTGTGGCTTCACAGCTCACAGCAACCTCCAACTCCTGGGCTTAAGCGATTCTCTTGCCTCAGTCTCCCAAGTAGCTGGGACAACAGGCGCCTGCCACAACACTTGGCTATATTTTTTGGTTGCAGCCATCATTGTTGTTTGGCAGGCCCAGGCTAGATTAGAACCCACCAGCTCTGGTGTATGTAGCTGGTGCCTTAGCTACTTGGGCTATAGGTGCCAAGCCGTCAATCTTCTAATTGTCCACTGGCCATTGCCAAGGCTCCAGAGAACTAGAACTTTGATGTCCATTTGAGATCTGGAATCCCTAGAGAAGGGCTCTTCCTTGGTCCCCTAAGTGTTCCTCAGGCTATATTCAGCTCCCTCATCTGGAGAATGGCGGGCTCTTACATACACAGGCCAGCAGTTTTGTCAACATGGTAGGGTGTTGCCCAGAGCAATTGTCACACAGGTCATTTTTGCCTTGTTTAGTCCATCCTCCTTTGGAATATCTGTCACAGCTGATAATTATAATAAGGGGAGAGGACTAGGTGAAGCAGGCGGGGAGAAGGCTTAAGTAGCTAGACGAGTTCCATGGCAGACCTTGAGGACACACACTTCCTTGGACAAATTCAGGTAGAGGCAAGTAAGATTGAGGATGATATTTTTAAGTTTAAGGAGGTTGGGAAAGACACAATTCTTTTTTTTGTTGGTGCTTATCTACTACGCTGTCTTTCATGTTATAATATGAAACTGCTGGTTTAGTTGGAAGGACAGGCCTGAGAGTCTAGGTTTGTGTTCAGTTGGCCTTGTTCAATTTTCTTTCTTACATTTTTGTAGCTAGAACCAGCAGAGGTAAGTATGTCTGAATCTAAGTTGTGACTGATAGAAAGGGACTATCTATAAATTGACTCAGATTTCAGGGTTTTGTTAGTTTGAATTTGGCCCCTATAAAAATACCTCCCCCAAATACCTTGTATAATGAGTTGTCTGTCTGATATGCTTACACAAAAAGTGTTTGGTTTTGGAAATTGAAGATAAACTCTGGTGATGAGCCCTTGTTGGCCCTGTGTATGACTGACAGTACAGGGGAGGCAAAGGCCATATTGAGGGAACCTGGGAAGAAGAAGGACTAAATGCTTCATGAACCGTTGATACTGAGGGGCAGAGTAAATGCGGGCCTTTTTCTCTGCTGTAAAAGTAGCACTGTAAAATAGAGAAAGGTGGTTTTTTCTTCTCTATCAGGAGACTATTGTCTGTGACAATGTTGTTTTGCAGTCAGCTGTTTAATTTGAATTGATTTTATAAAAAATATGTTTACAACTGTTAGGCAACATGAGTACTGAAGGTTAATTTATCTTTTTTGTTGTTTCTTTTTTTAAAAGATATTGAGCAGTTTCATATCCAAGTCACCCAGGAAGATGGAAATAAAGTGGTAAAGATTTGAAATTCCTTTGCTTCAGTGTTTCTTCCATAGAGAGCTATGTTTCTAGGCTGTTTATAGAGTCATGTTGTTGATATGCAACGTTTTCTATATTTGATGTCACTCAAATGGTAGTCTTGCTATTGTAATGTGTGAAATGAAACAAATATATATGAGGTTATTGTATCTCTACTTCAGCCCTCAGCCTTTGGGAGTCTTTCCACAGCTTTTACCTTGCCCATGCAAATCTATGCAAGCTTAGGTATATACATGTGGAGATTTAATTGTTTTTACCAAGACAAAACCATAATACATATGTTTACCTGATTTTTTTTTTTTTTTGGCCGGGGCTGTGTTGGAACCTGCCACCTCCGGCTTATGGGGCCAGTGCCCTACTCCTTTGAACCACAGGTGCTGCCCTGTTTACCTGATTTTTTATTTGCTTTTTATGTAATATATTAGAAGTATCCCTAAGTTACTAAATAGAGCTATGAGTGATTGGCTGTTTTTTTCTAATTTTTATGCGTATGTGCACACATAGATAACATGGGCTCATAACATATATGCTGAAGTTTTGTGTAGTGTCATTATTTTATTTTTGCTTGTTTTCCACGTCTCCCTTTCCTTTTTACCGCTGACCTTTGTTCACAACCTGGAATGTATCCTTTCATACTTCCTCCATCGTTGTGTAATCTCCTACTCCCATCTCTGGCACACCCAGAGGTTTGCTTATTATTCATTGCATTCAATTTTGTGGACTCGCCTACAAGTCGACCAGAATAGTTCCAATGCATTCTCTCTAGAACACATAATAGTCTTCAGTGTGAATGTCCGTACTTTCCTAACCACTCTTCTGTGCACGGACATTCACTTGACTCCCAGTTTTCTGTCTTTTGCATCGTCAATTGTCTCAAACATTTTTGTCTCGTTTTATGTTTTGGTTTCTGTATTTCTCTGGGCTAACTCCTCAGGGACAGATTGTTGTGTTGATTGGTATATTCATTTAAAAAATTTCAACAGATTGTGCTGGATTGCTTTGCAGAAAAGTTGTTAACAATTGACAATTGTAAGAGTACCTTTCCCTCATCTACACCTTCAATAGATATTGTTTACCTTTTCAAAAATTTCCAGTTTGATAGGTATAAGTTGATATCCCATTATTATCTTAGTCTGTATTTCACTTAATATTATTGAGTTTAAGCCTCTCCTCTGTTTATGAGCTATTTAATCTGGTTTCTGAAAATTAGTTATATCCTTATCTCTTTTTTCTACTAAACTATCTTTTTCTTGATAATTTTCTTGATAATTTAAGATATTAGTACATTATTGACATTAAAATGATTTCCTTCAATATTTAATCTGCATTGAAGTAGTCTTTTGCTGAAAATTTTAAAGTTATGTGAACAAAATTAAAATAGAAAAAGGAATTTATTGATTATGTATTTGCTATTAAAAGTCTCAAATCAAGAAGTCTGGCTGGAAATTTACCAGTAGAAAGTATGTGCTTTGAGCTCTGGGCTACCAGTGGCCATCACTGACTAAGAGGATGGGAGCATCAGCACAGGATTAGGGGTCAGAAGAGGGTCAGCTCACGAGGAAAGACTAAGGCTGGATCCCAGGGTCAGGGAGGAGAATTTAGAGCAGAGACTTAAGTAAATAAGTTGGGGTCAGGAACTGGGAATGAGCATAGACAGAGGACTGGCTAATAGAAGAGGGTGTGGGCGACCAAAGGGAAAGACAGAAACAGAGACACAATGGGAAGAGCAAGAAGACACCTGGCAGCAGCCCAGAAATGATCCAGGCAGCCTTGGCGTCCCTTCATTTCTTTTCCAAGAAAGGAGCACTTCTGCCCCCATTCTTAACAACTTCGATAAGAGCTTTTTACAGCAGTGTGCAATCCCACATATTCTCTACAACGTCCCTGCATGATAGGGTGGTATTATAATTATCCCTGTTTTTATAGAGAAGACAGCAACCAAGGCTCACACAGGTGAGGTGACTCTAGAGAGGAACAAAACTGAGTTCTGAACCTGGATGGGCCATAGTCTGATACTCATGTTCTTGTCAATGTGTGCCTTTATCTGGAAGGTGTATCTATCCCAACCCAACAAATTTCAGAAAAAGTGGAAAGATTTTCCAAGGTTTAGAGACAGATGGGTACTCTAGGATCTTTCCTGTAGCATCACTTTCCTCTGGCCTAAATTGAATGGACCTGGGCAAGCAAGAAACAGAAGTATACAACCTACTGTCCCTTTATGCCATGCTGTGCCCTCAAGTTCCAAGTTAGCCTTGGTGGAGACATCTTTTAGGATTAATGAGAGTTTAGGCATGAATATGGCTAATCTTGGTCTTCCCCTTCCCCCTTATTTCTTCTTTTTTAATTTCAGGTTCATGCAAGGTTACAATATTTGCATCTGTTAGGTAGAGTCTCTCTTGAAGCTGTGCCCTGCACCCTAGAGGTGTGCCATATACCCCTACATTGTGCTTATCAAGTGGGAGCACACCAATCCCCTCCTCTCCTCCCCTCCCCTGTTCCCTCTCCCCCAAACTCGATTAAACCCTTCCCTCATGTGCTCTTATTTCTTCTCCTATCTTTATTCTTTACTTACTTATCTCAATGTAAATTCCTTTTGCTTGATAAGCATTTGGAGGAAAAATGAATTCTTAATTCCTCTGTCAAGTTATTTTGTAGTTGGGTGATGTACTGAAAGGGCACTGTCAGGGTGCCAGGTCATTGAGATTCCAGGCCATGCTGAACTAACTCTGCAGCCTAATCCAACTTCTCTGGACCTCGGTTTTCTCACCTGTAGACAGAGTGCATTACATGGCTTCTGGAACTTCCTGATTCTAGGGTTCTGCAGTTCTTTGATTTTGTTACTTAGTGAAAAAAATATTTTACATGGGTAATACATAGTATCCTTGGCAATTTACTCTTGCACACCTATTTCAATTTTCTTCTTTTGAACATGCATTTCTTGAATACTATTATATGCTCAAAACAATCAAGACATTGAAAATAGAAAGGTTCTGTAGAAGAGTGTATACTCATGGGGGAGCCATACAGCATTAACTAAAATGTAATTGTAATAGAAGCGTAACAAAGCACTATGGGAACACAGAGGTGAGGAGCTCTGCCTGCATCACGAGGAGGTAAAGGAAAGCTTTGTGCAGGAGAGCAATGCCCAAGTCAGGTCTTAAAGGATGAGTAGTTAAGTATTGCTGAGAGATGGGGAACATCATCATACTCACTGCAGAAGACATAAAGGTAAGAAGCAGGCCCAAAGCCATGTGGTTGGTTTATGGTCAAAAAGGGCTCCTTGCCTAATCACTCCTAGGCCTAAGTCTTTCATTGGCTTCACAGCCTCTGTCTTCAGCAGTGAAGGTTTCTTGGCTGCAGAGTCCTGAGGGTGTTATTTATAGACAAGGAAGTTATGAATCTTCTATTCATGTAGCTGTTGATTTGTGGGAGGTGTGCTCTTGCCTTCAATAGTACCAGCCTGTCTGTTAAACTAGGAACAAGAATAAAATAGTGTATTATAGAGTATTCAGGAAGAGGAAGTCATGAAATGATCTCTTAAAACTCTTCTGGAAAGATTGTCTGTGTGTGTTGAAGTTGAGGGAAGTGCTAAAAATAAACTGTGGAAATATTTACATGTGTCATACAGACATGGGAAATAATTATGATTCCAGAGATGTTTTCCTTTAAAAGTTATTTCTGTATAATTTTTTCCTTCTTTAGGTGATTAAAAATTCTGGCCATCTGTCAAGAGACAGAATAGCTGAGGATTTTGTTTGGGCTCAGTGGGACGTGCCAGACCAGAGATTATACTACATTGACCTGAAGGTGAAAACTCCTCCATGGGCACTCCTTTTTGTAGGAATAATTTGATTTACATATCATTGTTGCGCTTTCTTAATCACTCTATTTTCATTGATGTGAGCAGTAAAAGAAGGTTTATTAAAAACAATGAAAGGATTTTCATTATTGTTTGCTTTGTGACTGCTTCCTTTTTTTTTTTCTAGCTTTTTTTTTTGTAATAAGTCATTCTATTTTCTCTTAGAAATCAAGGAGCATCTTAAAATGCATCCAGTTTTATGCTGATGAGAGCTTTAACTTAATGGTAAGTCCAAAGAATGATCAGACTACAGGAAATTTTATTAAGTATTGTCCCTTTTTAAGAGAGTCGTTGTCACAAACAATAGCATCTTAGCATTCTTGATGTTAGTCACTTGTATGAGCAAGTGCCTTGCCATCTCAAGTCTTCACTTCCATGACAAATGCAACTCATCTAGGTTATTAGAACCCACACAGGAACTCTCTACTGCCTGCCTCACATTAAAGAAACAAGTGTAAGTGGAGAGTGGTAGGAAGTATGGGTGTGGTCTATAATAGGTAGCTTGAGGTGGTTGCAACTTATTTGGCCCAAAAAATTTGTGAGAGTGGTGGATTTGAGAGTAAAGAAGACAAGCTAATGGGAGAATGTAGTTTAATTAGTAATAATCTAGCATTATTTCTCCCAGTGCTATTTGGAATGTTAACTTTGTTGTGAGGAATCCCCAATATCTTTGTCTATGATGGACATTATTATTCTTCTTGAGTAGGTATATTTGAATCTAATACAGATTGGTATCATACCATTACAAGAACTTCATTCGCCCCTCCTGCCCTTTTGTTGGCTTACCTACTGTTCTCCTGAAGACACCCCATCTTCCTTCTCTCTCTCTCCTTCCTTCCTTCTTCCCTCCCTCCCTCCCTCCCCTTCCTCCTCTTCTTCCCTCCCTCGCTTCTTCCTTCTTTCCTTCTATCTATCTTGTAAAAGGCACTGCTTCCAAATGGCCTATTATATAACCCATTTATGATACATATCCAAGGCAAAGGTTACCAAGCATTAGCCCTTTAAGAAGTAAATATACATCAAACTTGTATGTATGTAAACTCCAGAATATTCCCAGTGGCCTTTCTGTGCTGTGAATTTGGGGTATAACCTCTAAAGGTAATGATGGTCAAATGGGCTTTTCATCATTAGGCAAGCACAGCACTGGCTGGCTTGTTCCAGTTGCTAGAACTGTCACCACAATGTCATTTTGGGTAGTCATTTTCTATTGATTTTTTTTTTTGACAGTTTGAAGTGTGCTTGGACATATCATTAAGTGACTCAGGATTTAAGTAAGTTATTTATAGATTGTTACTAATTTTTATAGATCCTTGTGGGCAAAATGATTATATTTATTCCTGATACATGTTATACAGATGAAAGGACAATTTGGTGTTCTGTGTGTTGTATCTTTTTTCATATTCTTGTTCTCTACAGGGAATATAAACAACTTTATCAAGAATGAACAGAATTTTCATGTAGAGTCAATTGTACTGGTTTCTTAGCCATTTATTTCTGCAGGGCATCTCATTAACTTTTGTATTTGGAAATGCTTTTCTCCCTGTGATTAAATGAAGGGTTCAGTGAGCCAGAGAGCTATGTTTAGAACCAAACATCAGCCTCCTTTTTTTCTTGCCATCAAGGAAGATGTCACTGGTCAACCCACTGGTACCTCAGCTGAGTCTATTGTATTACTCTTTTTCTTGTATTTCCTTTTTTACAGAAAAAGGCAGGATTTTTTTCTTTTCTAGACTATTTTATATGAGTAAAAACATGTGACACTTTTAAAAAACACAAGCCATCAATCTGTAGAAAGAAATGAAAGTCTTTGAATTAGAGCAATGATAATCCTGAAATGCTAAGTATTTCACTAGCCTTATTTTATCGTATATGAACATTTACTTGTATTTCTTTTGAAACAGTTCACAAAAGTTATCTAAATGTCCATTGAAAATAACATGTATTTTTCTATATTTCCAGTCCAATGCCATTTATGTACCATGTAATTTTTTTAATTACTAAATTTATTAACCAAAATAGCTATCTACCTAAATTTCTCAGGAACATGTTTCTACTTTTGTGGGTATATTATAGTAGTTGCTCACATCCTTGATGAGGGGATATTTTTAAATGCATTTGGTAATTTATTGTTTATGTTCTTAGACTTGTCAACTTTGGATGTGATTGTCGTCAATACCAGGAGAAATTATCCAAACATCCTACTCTGTGTGTTTTTACCAACCATACAGGTATAACCAGGGTTGTATTTATCAATTTATTCAACTGCCTGTAAGTTCTACCAAGTTTACTCATTGTTTAGCCATATGGATTCTGAAAATAAAATATATCAGGGCTACGTTCTGATATATTAATGATCACGAGGATTTTCATCTATCAAGTTTTCTTCTTCACTGGTTTTATACATTTTCTGTCTGTATCAAAGGAGCCATACGTAGTCAGCAGAGTTGTTCTTATTTGTATCATTCTAATAGACGGGATGGATTTAGTTAATTTATGTTTTCACACCCACTATCTTTTAACAAATGGCATGCAGTGATGGTGATGTGTTCTATGTCAGGCTTACTGAAGTCTTTGTGTTCTAAACTTATGTACCAAGTTTTAATAGTCATATCCCAAAGGATCCTTGACTACCCCAATAGTTTTTAAAAATATATATTTGTTTGTGTGGGACAACAGAACATACAAAAACAAAACATCAGCAGGGGCAGTCTCTGAACCCCCCCTCCCCGCCCCGGTATGTGACTGTAGGCCGTGCTGAAACCTGCTGATCTAACAATCAGAGATTGACATAAAGCTATTAGTATATAATATTCTGTTCCTTACTACCTGTTTATTATGGGTATAGAAAATGGAGCGGGAAAAGAGGAATGCTTAAAAATGAGAAAAGAATATGATTACATTCAATGAAGCTGGTGAAAAAACTGCTCCTTTAATAATCACCTAATTAACTCTAATAATGAAATATAATTTTTAATATCCCAAATAAATTGGACATTTACCACTTGAGAAATACTTTGACTAAAATTGCATTCCTTTAAAAAAAAGTACATCTGAAATTTACTAGGGGTAGACTACAAATGTCTTAACACAATAACTAAGAAAATTCTGTGAAGGCTATGTTGACCAGTTTGATGAAAGCATTTCAAATTGTATATAAAACCAGCATATTGTACCCCATAATTGCATTTATGTGCATAGCTATGATTTAATAAAAAAATTATTAAAAATTATTTAAATTTAAAAAAATATTAAAATTATTAAAAATTAATAAAAATTATTTAAAAATAAATTATGTCATATTTAATCCCCATTAAGGGAACATTTATCAAGCACTTAATATTTGCTAGATATTGGGAATACAATAATGAGTCAAACAGACCAAATCTTTATTTGGATAAGGGTCGCTATTTTGTGTTTATTTTGGACATTACATAAGTGCACTCATAGTATTTAAATAGATTCATCATAAATATTATGAATGAGCATTACAGAAAGCCAGGAGAGCATTTGACGGAGGTTTAATAGATGATACTAGCATCTTCAACTATGTTCTAGTTCAGCCCACCCGTCCTTATTTCTTTCCCCACAGGCATTTCATCCCATTTTGTTTTAGTCCAGAAAATCACCCCCTCTTCCACCTTACTACCTTATAATCCATCCCAGTTTGTCCTGTTCCTGGCCCCCGTCAGCCACAGAGTCCCTCTATACATGAGTATGTGGTCCTAGGGAGTTCAAGGAAGAAAGTGACCTTTCAGGGGAGACTTGAAGGATTGTTTGAGCTCACACCAATGGAACTGAAGCAGGGTAAGCAAGGAGGAGGGTTTTGGGAAGGAAAGCTGGAGAGGCAGACTGGGGCCAGACTACCTAGGACCTTGTGGATCATGGGGAGATTTTACATTTTTATCCTAAGAGTTGTGAGAGGTCATTTAAGAAGTTTTCTTCTCTTATTTTGAAAATGTTTAAGTTTACCAAAAAGTTCAAAAATATAGCAAACATCCATGTACCTTTTATTTAAAAAATCATACCATTTGCAGTGTTTGCTTTACCATTCTCCCCATATTTAGGTATCATTTTCTTCTTTTTGACCTAACCATTCAAAAATAAGTTGGAGACATTATAATGCTTTACCACTAGATAATTCAGCATGTGCCTCTTTTAGTTAAGGATACTCTTCTACATGATCTCCATTCCATTATCACTGAAAAATTAATTACATCAATAAACTTTATTTTATGTTCAATTTTTCATAATTATTTCAAAATGTCATGTGTACGCATATGTGTATATATGTATGCAAATAAATATACATATGTATATAACTTTTAAAGTCAAGGTTGCATCAAGATTTATATATTACATTTGGTCGTTTAAGCTTTGTAGTCTCTTTTAATGTGCAACAGTCTCACATCCTACCTCTTGACCTTGTTTTTCTTTTCACAACATTGAGTTTTGAAAGAGTCCTGGCCATTTGCCATATGGAATGTCCTACATTCTGGATTTGTCTATTTCCTTGCAAAGGCATGTGGCTTTTCCTCTATTCTTTACATTTCCTGTGGATTGGAAGTTCTACACAATTGTGTAAGGGAACAGTTAGACACAGGTTATGTTTTCATTGAGAGTATTTCATAGGTGATGTGAATTTCATTTCAGGAGACCTATAACATCAGGATGTCCTACTGTTAAAGACTCCGGTCATTTGGTTAAGTAGTAACCACTGTGTGTATCCCTTGTGAAGGGACATTTTAATTTCTGAACTAGTACTTTGTAGGGTGATACTTTGCCGCCATGTGACTATCCTTTTCCGTAATGACTTCTCATCTGGCATTTTCGTATCCACTGTTGCTTGTGCACTGAAGTTTTATAAGCAGGCGGTGACGTGAGTAGATAGGTATTTGTAAAATTTCACTGTGGCTGCTGTGTAAAGAATGGATTGGAGGCAAGAGAAGGCAAGAGAAAAAGTGGAGATGATTAGCATGAAGTTGTAGCTGGACTTTTGAGATGCTTATTGTTTAAACTAGGATGGACAATGGAGGTGGAGAGAAATAGATGCATTTTGGAGTTGGAACTAAAAGGACTTGCTATGAATTAGATGGAAAGGGACAGTTCTCAGGTTTCTGTCATCAGCAGGCAGGTGAACAGCTGTATCATTTACTGAAGCATAGCGGTTTGGGTGAGGCTTGGAAAGGAAGATCTTGAGTTTGTTTTGGGCTTGTTAACTAAGAGATCTGCAGGTTAGAAGCAGGGAAGAACTAGCAATGAACAAATGTGAACGTTGTCAGAAAGCAGCAGGCATTGGCAGCCCTGGGAGGGGGACAGGGTCAGAAGAGAAGACATAAGAATTAGATCTAGAAGTATAAATATATGCAAGTTAGGTCAAATATCTAAAGGAAAAGGAAAAAATAATATTTAAACAAAACAAGTGTGGTATTAGAGGAGCCCAAAGCAGAGAACTTCACAGAGGAGACAGTGGCTAACTGTAAACAGGTAGTGGGAGGTGGGTCTGGCAGGACAGAGGCTATGTGAGCTGTCTGTGTTGGGGAATTGGGGTGAAATTGTGATTGTGCTGAGTTATAGGGGGGTTGAGAAAGTCATAGAAGTAAGTGTAGACATAAGAGAGGCTGCAGCCAGAGGGGAAAGAGAATAGGGAACACTGTTTTTTAAGATGGTAGAGACTCTAGTCTAGGATCTTTGTATATTTACAGGATATACGAGTCCTTAGTAGATAAGGAAAAGAAAAAAGACTCAGCAGAGAGGAATCACTGGTAGGGTGAATGTGCGTGGAAGGTGGGATGGAGAGGGATCCAGAGCTCACATGGAAGAAGCAGGGCAGATTCTTCCCTGGTACTTTGCTTGAAATCTATTGGATATAAATAATCATTTTCGGCTTTAATTCTATGTGGCTTTTTATTCCTTTTCATTTTATTCCCACAGGAATTTCTCATGAACAGCAGCAGCTGTAACTTATAAATGGGCTATTTATGACATCTTATTTAATCAAATGTTAGGCTTATCTGGCATAAAACGTGAAAGAGTCTTTTTTTTTCTTTCTCAGCAGTGTCTGGGAGAGTAGAAAATGAGCCTACTCTTCACAGTCAGCTTTGAAATAGAAAAAATAAGCCAGTTTCAAATGGATGCTTCCAGCTTTGAGATGAAGCAAGCCAGAGAAGCAACTTTGGGTTTCTGATTAATAAGTTGTTAGTTCATGTATTTCCTAAAATGCTTTTCAAAAATGATTATCTTACCTTTGTTGTTAAAATGAAATTGATTCTAGCAAAGTAGGATTGGAGAAAGAAGCAAATAATTGAAGCCGGATATGGCTCCCTCTATAATAGCTTAATTCTTCCCTGGAGGCCAGGAAACATGGGCCATGTGAGGAATCAAACAGACCCAAGACCGTACACAGACTTTATTTTCATTATTTACACTAGTGTTAATAATATAAAATTTGACATTCAGTCGTCACATCTTGGTCCAGCTATTTGTCCTTTCAGCTTTACTTGCTACATTCTTGAAAGCATCTTTGTCCTAAATTGAAGTTGGCTACCTTCTCAGCAGTGGTTCTCAACCTTCCTAATGCCCGATGTATTTTCATTGTTACAAAGGGGTCGCGACCCACAGGTTGAGAACTGCTGTAAGGGATTAGAAGTTAGAATCTGGGCGATGGGCATGCTCATGAGCTCGAGGGTGGGCAGAAGCATTGCTGCTGTGGACAGGCCACTTGTGAATTATTTAACACTGTAGGTTTTTCTAACAGTTTTCTCACAGTAGGAGGGTAAATCAATCAGTCTTTCTAAGCATTGCGAGGAAAGTATTCTCATTCCTTCCCTGTCTGACAGTCAACTCTGAATCTGTACTTAGAATGTTTTTACATGTTCGAAGTCAGGCTATGATTCTTTCTTGTGTGCCCCTTATGGGGAGGTGATAAGTTGGGAAGTGTGTAAATTCTCTTTCCTGTTCATATAATTCTGAGAGTTGCTCTTCACAAGTTCCCAGAATTAGGCCTGTGTTTTAACATTTTCTAGAGCCTTTTAATAATGGCTGCAGTGAGATAATTTCCCTTGGAAAACATTATCCACAATAGTCTTCTTTGTCCAGATGGTTTCCCCAAGGCTAACCAACGCTGAGATGTTATCTTCATCATTGATGAATTTTATTAAACATCTCTGAATACACCCTTAAGAGCATTCTTTTTTTTTTTTCAAACTGTGACTTCCTCCAACTTGTAAATAGCAGCACAATTATTCTGGGATAATTACAATAGAAGCTAACCTTTATGGCCAAATATAACTTCTTTGCCAGAGTTTTATATACATTATCTCATTTAATTCTCATAAGAAGTTTATGAAGTCTTATACTTCTTTATTTATAGATGAGGAAACCAAGGCTTAGAGGATTTAATTATGAGACAATATAATGCTAAATGCCAGGATCCAAATCCAAATCTGCTGATTCTGAAAGTGGTTCTCAACGTTGGTTCATATTAGGATCACTTAGCGAGCTTTTAATACTGATGCCTCAGCCTCAGCCCCAGAGATTCTGATTTCATCTCTGAGGCAGAGCCTGGGCATCTGAGATCCCAAGTTTGTTTAATGTATTGTCAGGGTTAAGAACCAATACTCTAGAGCTATGTTGGCCAATGTGGTAGCCACTAGCCACATGTGGCTGTTTAAATGAAAATTAATTAAAGTGAAAAGTAAAAAGTAGCTCCTTGGTCACACAGCCACATGTAACCAGTGGCTACCATATTGGACTGCGCAAGGGTAGACCATTTCCATCATCGCAGAAGTTTCTATTGGGCATCCTCACAGACCCTGTGCTCACTCCATTTCCCCTTGCTGTGTCTTTTTCTCTCTTTGGGGTTGGGAGGTGACTCTAAGCTATGACCTAACAATTTGGAAGTACTTGCTTATGAGATCTGACTATGATTCTCGGTATGTGTAATTAGGTACATTTATTCTACATCTCGCTTTAATTTTCTTGAAAATGAGAAAACATGATAGCCTTTGATCTCTAAATGATGGTGTGCAAGAGATTTTGCTGGAATGAAGGTTATGCTCTTCCTTACTTTGCCAACATTTCATATTTAAAACCCAAGATAGATTCCTAAAAGAAGAATTACTACATCAGCAGGTCTGAATGTATTTAATCCTCTGCAAAAACTATTTTTCAGAGAGTTTGTACCAGTTCACTTTTCTACTGCTGGAGCTAGGACGAACATGCTCCCTTGACAGCATTCATTCTAATTTAAAGACCTTTGCAAATCTGAAAGGAAAATGTGGTGACTTGTTTTAATTTTCATTTCTTTATTACTAGAGAGGCTGATGTTTTTATCTTTTTTTAAAAGCAATTTCTTGCTCCTTGTGATTATAAAACATAAGGGAATGGATAAGTTGGTAATTTTTTGCTGATAATATGTTTACTGTATGAAAGTAGTCAAAGTGGTACACGAGACTTGTGTAACTCTTATAATTATTATTTTGCTTATGCATTGGTGATAGATAACTTTTATTCCCACTTGAGTCTGCTGTAATTTTAAAGAACAGTTATCACTATGTGCGCTGTAACCCATAACAGTAATTTTACACCTAGGAGAATTATTCCTATTTTATCTGATAAAGTTGTTCTTTTTTTGTTATTTGGCTTTTTCAAGATATTGCAATAAAATAGCCTTCTTAGAGGAAATGGGCTTTTTTTTTTCCTACCATGCCAGAGGTACCAGAGGGGTGGAATGGAAGGAATGCTGAAATCTGCTGAAGGACAGTGGTGCTCGAATCCACATAGCTGGTCTATACTAGCTCTGGGACTGACCGCAGCTTTCCTGACTCCCTGTCTAGTTGCTTTCTACCTGGCAATGTCCTACTTTGGTCAATAAACACTAGCATTGGAATCGAAGTCTCAGTAAGCCTAATGCCCTCATCAGTGGGCCACTGAAGGCAGCTGCTGGAGGGGATGTGCAGTTTTACACATGGAGGGGGTGGGAAGGCTGAGACTGTCCAGGACTGGTGAGGTCAGAAAAGTCAGTGCTCCTGTGGGGAGGCCACACTATGCTAAGAGCTCTCCTTTGGCCATGGGTCTGTGTCTTCAGTGACCCGAATACGAATGGGTCTGGCTCACCCACCACACTTACTCCCACTGCCTCGTAAGGTAGATTACACTTTGCCTCTCAGTCAAGATAAACAAGAAGACTTGAAGCTTTCTGTAAAATGAAGAACAGATTTTTGATAAACTAGTGTTCATAGTAGTCGAAAGGTGACAAGCTAGATAAGACATGGGAGGGCAGTGCATGCATATTGGAATTTCTAGATGCTTTGGAAACTCCAGACTCCCATGACTTCGTATACAGCGCTAAGTCTCTATTCATTTTCCTATCCTTTAATAGCCTACCACAATACATTGCCTACAGTGTATGTTAAATAATTATTGACTTGAAATTTATTAGCTTGTTCAGAAACCAATTCTAGAATTTGGGAAGCACGTGACATAAGATAAGGCAGGATATCTAAAGGAATAGAAACAGAGTTAAGTGACTTAGAGAAATGTACTTACCTATGACATATATTCTTTTAAACTGTACTAAACATTTTCTTACTTCTAGGAAGCTTGTGTGTCTGTTACAGCCCTAGGTGTGCGTCTCCGGAGCAAATCACATACTCGGTGTTTTACATTCATAAAGGTACATTTCATTTCTTTTTTACTTTTATGTAATTATTTTTTCCAAATAGTAGCAAATTAGATCTTAAGTCTTATTACCTTGCAATCAGTTTTTATCAGTAAGTTTTATATCTGTATACCTGTAGGTATAATTCATGTTTCCTGAAAAAAGTTACTAGTGGTGATTGCTAAGTCCATTGTTTTCACACATCATGATTCTTATCCTGGCCTATATCTTCTTCTAGGCCTGTGTAGGGATCCTAATGGAGGTATTCGCCCAAAGTGTGTTTGCTTTTTAGTCATAACTAGTTGAAAAGTATCTATAGATTTTACTTACAAACTCACACAGGATTTTGGTTAAAAGCATTTATGATCTCAGACCTAAACAGAGTTTGCAAATCTGAAAGGAAAATGTGATGCCTTGTTTTAGGCACGTCTTGTTTACTGACGTATTTATTCCATTTCACATATGTATGGCCCAAGATTTTGCTGTGTCACAAGTAGGGAAACAACAGTAAGAGGCCCAGCCGGCTCCATTTCTGCACTGGGTCACAGTGCGGCCTCTCCTAGTTTTAGTCTGAACCATGCCAAGGAGTAATTAGTTTGCTTGTTTAGTTACTCATAATTAGCATATATGCAGCACGTAATGTGAGTGGAGTTTGTTTCAAAGAGGAAAATTTTCACCAATATTAAAAAAATTTTACCAGAGTTTGTTATTCTGCAGAAGTGCCTAACCTCACCTGCCAAGGTTAGAGAGCAAAGTAAAAGGCGTTTGAGAACTTGGCAATGGAGAAACGAAAACTAACTTCAGAACTAGACGTATGTTTTATGTGCGTGCAGACTTTAATAGTCTTAGTTTGAGATTTCGTGGAAAATTTTCTTTTTTTTTTTTTTTTTTTTTTTTTGATCGGGACTGGGTTTGAACCCACCACCTCCGGTATATGGGGCCAGCGCCCCGCTCCTAGAGCCACAGGCGCCGCCCCCGTGGAAAATTTTCACACATTTTCCTAATGATTAATGTCATGATCAAAACCAGGAAATAAAACTTCCCGGAATATTAAGAATTAGAAAAGAGTTAGAAAAGAGAGTAAAGCCCAGCGCAGTGAGTGTCACAGATACCCTTCCTAACTAAAAGTGGGATTGTAGGTGACTGGGACAAGCGTGAGGGTCTGGGTGACTGCTTGTGTACAGCAGTGAGCCTGGGAGGGGGACCCCAGGAGTCCTCTGGTCTCTTCTACCTCTTGGGTCCTTCCCTCCTTGAACAATTCACCTCTTTTTGGGATCCATGGTTATATATAAGCCCAGAACAGCTACACGATTGTGACTGCACACAGATGATGTACCTTCAATGCTGCCTTTGGAGAATGTGGGGAACTATGAAATCTGGAAGTCAGAAGATGCTTGCTGTATCAGTTTCACAGTTACTAGAAATTAAGAGTGTTACCTACAGTCACCTTGGGTGGAGTTCGCATTCTTTCTCTGGCTTCGTGTTTTCTCTCTGCAGGACACAGCAAGACCTTCACTGCTGCTCTTGGGAGTGCTGGCTCGCACCTGACGAAGGGTGTTACTTTTCTCAACCTCGGTGGGTGATGGAGAAGGAGAGATGTGCTTCTGCTAGGACCACTCCTTCCACACACGCTGTGCCCTCCCTCCTTCTTCTCTTCTCTGTGTTCCCCGTTTCTCATGCCTCCTTGAGACTCAGGTTATGATGACAATCAATAACCCTTTTGAAGCCCGATGGGAGAAGGTTTCTCTGGAACACACCTCTCCCTCTTAACTCCATCATCCTTTGGGTTATGGGGTGTGTCCTCCTTTTTAGGGAGTCTAGGCTATGAGCGTTATGGTAGCAGTCTTAAAAAGCCATTTGTTTGTTTAAAAATGATGACTGTGTATGAGATGTCCCCTAATAGCCTATAAGAAATAAGACATCATGCCTCTTGATTCTTGAGAGGATGGGGCTTTTGGGAAATTGTCTATTTCTTATTGCTAATCATGCAAATCTTCCAAGTCTCATTAATGATTTATAGATCAGCTTGAGTGAGTTGTTTTCATTGTGTAAATTTCATATTTAGCTCCTCGATAGTATTAAGTTTGAACATATAAAGGGAATCTTTAATGAAGGAAATTTGAAGAGTTTATTGTACTTCCCTCCTGAAAACTGCTCTTTCATGCCAGCTAGGATGTGGGGCACAGACAACTTAGAGTAAGGAATAGGATTGTTATTTGCCTAGATAGGACATGGCACAATATTTTTAAAAAGAAAACTTCAAGGGCGGTGCCTGTGGCTCAGCGGGCAGGGTGCCGGCTCCATATACCGAGGGTGGCGGGTTCAAACCCAGCCCCAGCCAAACTGCAACAAAAAAATAGCTGGGCA